CCCGACCCGCCGCACGAAACGCCTGCCGCCCCGACAGGGAGCCCGCGCGCGCGCGCCTTCCGCGAGCCCAGCTCGGCCCCTCCCGCCCCCCATCCCCCCAGGTCTGCCTGCCCTATGATAACAAGTCGGGCGTCGGCATCGCCGCCGCCGTCCGCAACAGCGCCGCCAACACGACACTGCCTCAACCCGTTTTGCGCCAGCTCCCCAGCTTCTTCTTCAACGGCACGTGCTTCCAGGAAAACGTGGTGCAGCTGGACCACGCATTCCTTATGGTGGTGCCCGGTGCCAATGACCTGGGTGCCGGCCTGCTGCCAGAGGGGCCGGTCGACAACAGATACCTGTGAGCTCCCAGCTTAGCCGCAGGCGTGCGCCGTGGCGCGGCGGGGCAGGGGCTGCGGCGCGGCGGGGGAGCGCGCGCGCCGCGCCTGTGCCGGTCTCGCTGGAGGAGCCTGGGAGGGGAGGGGCGGGGCGCATGCGTTGCTCGGCTTCAGGTGGCGGCAGCCAGGCTCGGCCGTTGGGAAAATGAGTGAGTTCGAACACCGGCAGCCGGCTCATCACACAGCCGCAACCGTTGCAGCCCCTCCTCGCACCAATCACCAACGCACGGCGGCCCACGGGCGCACACGCGCGCGCTTGTGCGCCCCGCAGGTGGGAGATGCGCAACTCGACGCGCCTGTGCGCCGTGACGGTCGACGCCGCATGCCTGGACGTGAGCTCCCCCAATACGTGCTACGACACCACGTATCTCGCATTCCAGTCGAGAAACGCCCCCCAGGGCGGCGCCTCGGGGCCAGACCCAGTGGCAATTGGGGTGCCGATCGCCGCGGGCGGCGCTGCCGCGCTCGCGGTGCTGGTGGCCGCGCTGCTGCTGCTGCAGCGGAGCCGGCGGCGGCGGCGGGCGCGCGAGGCGGCGGCGGCGGCGGCGGAGGGAGGGCCAAAGGGCGGGACTAATGAGGGGGGCTACCCGCAGGCTGGCGCGCAGTGAGTGGCGCGGCGCGGGGTCGGCCCTGTGCCCAGCTGCCTGGGTTGCAGCTAGGGGACGGGGTGCGGACGCGCATCCATTAAGCCGCCCGCGCAGGTGCGGTGCTCAACGCTGGACTTAGACCTGTGTCCACACGCGCCACTGTTTCGCAGCCTGGGCTCGCCCCGCGGCGGCGGCGGTGGCGGCCCGGGGGACAACTGGCGCCTCATGGCGCGCCACACGGCGCCCGAGTTTGGGGAGGAGGCTTCCGCACAGCTGCTGGACCATGTGCAGCTGGGTGAGTCACCGGGGGTTGGACGAGTCACCTGGGGGCTGGGTGAGTCGTGTGGGGCTGGGTACGTTGGCTGGAGGTTGGTTGAGTCATCTGGCAACTGATGGAGTTGTCTTGTCTCGGGCTTGGGAGTCGTATGGGGCCTTGACTTTGGGAGGCGCGAGAGGGGCGATTAGGCGGGGGTGAGCCTGGACGCCCTCTTGCGGACATATGCAATGCCACCTGGGGCGGCGGGGCCGCGACGAGGCAGCGGCCTGCAGGCAGAGCGGCCTGGTGTTGGGCCTGGGTGGGGGTCACCCGACACGCGTGCTCGGCCGGCCTGGAGCCCTGACGCCATGCCAGCGGCCGCACACGCTGCCCTTGAACACACACACACACACACACACACACACACACACACACACACACACACACACGCACACACTCCCCGGACGGCCGCAGGCGTGCTGCTGGGCGCGGGGTCGTTTGGGCGTGTGTACAAGGGCCGCTGGCAGGGGAGGGACGTCGCAGTCAAGGTGGGCTGCGTCTGGGCTGGCTGTCTTTGCCGGGTTTTGTCACTTCACTCCGGCCTTTATGCGGCCAGGCAGGGCGGCTGGGGATCACAACGGCCAAACAGACCGGCCGCAGCACTCTGCGCTGGCGCGAGCGAAGGGGAAGCCGGGGCGAGGCTAGGGAGGGACGGCGGCAATGTTGGGGGAGGGCAAGAGAGCACGCCGGCTGGGTGCGGGGCGCCATAAACGCGCCTCGCGCCGGAAAGCGCCTGGCGATTGCCGTATGACCGCGTCGCAACCGCCCCTGTGCGGCCGCCGCCGCCAAACGGCGCAGGTGATGATGCACGACGCGGCGGTGGCAAAGAGCGTGGCACGCGAGATCGATCTGGTGATGTCATTCAAGCATCCCAACATCGTGCAGGTGGGCACACACACGCGCGCGTGTGTCTGCGACCCGCCCGCCGCGCGCATGCAGTCTCGCGACGCACGCAGCTGTTTCGATGCAGACGTCATGCGTCCCGCCCCACCCGCCAGCGCGGTCGTCATTGGACGGACCTCTTCCCAGCCTCCAGCCCCGCCAGCGGTTGCACGGCCACGGCCACAAGGGCGGGCGGAGGGGTCGTGTCGCCGCCGCCGCTCCGCAACACACACACGCATCCCCCACCGCCCCGCGCCGCGCTCTCTTCCCAGGCGTACCATTTTGTGGCTTGGCGGAAGCACCGCACCGGCTCCAGCACAGGAGGCCTGCTGGTGCGCACAGCGGCAGGCCCCTGCACGCCCCTCTCCCCCCAAACAGAAAAAAACATGCCCCGCGCCGCGCCCTTGCCTATGCCACGCGTTGGACACCGACTACATGCACTGCCTAGGCTCGTTTGAGCCCTGGGCCCTTCGTGCGCGTGGGGGAGGGCAGAGCTGCCGCAGCGGAAGCCGCAGCATTTGAGGCCGCCACTGAGCCGCCCTTGACCTTCCTGCCCCCTGGAACCCGCAGGATGGCGCCAGCTCGAGTTCCTCCAACGCAGGCTTCATGCCCGGCGCAGGGGACGTGTACACGTTTGCGCACCGCGCCTCCCCCACGCGCCTGCCGTCGCCGCAACCCTCCGCGGCCCCTGATGCCGGCGATTCCGCCGGCACCGTCGTGCCCATCACGCCGGACCGCTCCGCCCCCGAGCGGCGGGAGGAGCCGCACGGCTCGTCGTTCGCGCTGTCCAGCGGCGGCGCCGTCGTGCAGCAGAGCGGAGGCTCTGCCGGCGCCGCCGCGCTGCCCCGGCCGCGCGGCGGCGGCGGCGGTGGCGGCGCGGGCGTCGCGC